CTTTTATTTGATGCTCTAAGTTTTTGGTTGAACTCAAAAACATTTTGAACTCAGAGAACATGAACATCCAGGGCGAGGCCTGAGGACGAACTACTGTAACTATTAATGCTGCCAAATTAATAAAGATGGCAGGATGGACGAAGAAATTCAGAACAATCAGGAACTTTAAAAACCAGAGTTTAAACAAAAACACAATATAAATGCATCTGGTGTCTATAAGACGAATAAAAGTCTGACCTCCTTTATGTCAACAGGCTTTGCAAAAATCTGTGTCGTGTCCTTCTCCTGTAGCTGATCCAGCGTGGCGCGAAGAAGCACCGACATCGGGGTCAACTGCATCTCTAAAGCTGCCTGGTGAACTTTGACCTGCAGTCGACAGAAGATACGGCCAGAGTGTCAGGATTTAACTGGCTCACATAAACTCAGAACATTAGCTTTTCRTGTGCTTTTCTCAATACATTTCAAAATGCTCAACCTACTTGCTGTTTAAAATTACACACTATGAATTTCACCTCAAYTGGTTTTCCTCCAATTAAAATGTAAATTCACACAGTTATTAAACGCAGCTCAGTTCATTGCTACCTGCTCTCGTTTGAGCTTCTCTCTCTTGCGTATGAGCTCCACGAGCAGTCTGGCTTTTTCAAGATCATGTCGCAGCTTCTGCCAATATCTCAGCGCTTCTCTAGCTGCAGAAATCTTCTCGTCCACTTCAGGCTGAAAAGGACAACAAACTTTACAGCTTACAGCAAAATCCTATCACAGCTGTATCTAGTATGTTGTTTTTGGAAACTGCTRTGATCTTTAGAATGGGACAATGAACTGCAGAGCTCTGTTTCCAGGACTGACCTGTTCTATGGTCCTTTGGGATTGGACGCTGGCGTGCATTTGTCGGACCAGTGGCACGCCGTTTCTTGACTGACGCTTCAGTAACCAATAGTTGTGCAGTCTCTGCATGAACTGGTTTTTCCTTTGGAGAAGGACTCCTTTGCTGATAATGTTAAGCCTGTGAAACAGAGAAATATGGAGGTTTATCTTACCACATGGCTATTCAACTGGCAGCCCGCGGGCCACATCCGGACTGCGAGTGACCAAAGTTCGGCCCACCAATTGGTTCATTCATCTCTTAAGCCCAAACCCCCGGTTTTCTACTTTAATTACTCCAAGTTCTGTTAGTTAAACATAGACATGTTTGGTGTCTACAGAAACATCAGAATCTTGGCTACAAGCTGGTAAAARCCATTTCTATRMAMACTCAAGACAGTTAAAACTACAAGCAGTTGAAGATAAAATAAAMGTGAAAATAAAATTGGTTTAAAAATTTGGCAAGTCAGAGATGTCAAAATATTATTTGTGTCAAATAATATGAGGCATAATATGTTCTTTTTGTTTTTGATAACGTTTATTTATCACTACTTTTATAGGGTTCTGTATGATGTATTCATGATTAAATGCAGCAAAATAAACAAAGATATCAGATCAAAATAAATCAAAGGTAACAGATCTTTGTGATACTTGGTTTATTTACATAATAAATTTAATTGCTGGATGTTCGGCCCCTCAGCTGTTGACTGGCAGTAAATGTGGCCCCCGGAGCAATTTAGTTGAATAGCCCTGTCTTACCAGCAACATGGTTCACATTATTTCAAACATTTCTAAGCAAGCTCTACTGTAACTTAATATTAATGTTTTAAATAAATGTTTTACCTACTGATGAAAACCCAAAGAAGAGAAAATAAAGTTAATTTTTTGATCAAAGTGATAAAATCACCTAACCTGCTTGTGGGTATCTGAGGCACAATCGTCTGTGGTGAACCAGTGTGCTGCTCTTTCGCCTCCGCCTTCTTTTTCCCTTTCTTTTTATCCGTCGAGGCGTCCTCTTCAGTCTTTCGGCCTTTTTTCGGTGTGGTCGGACCTTCCGTGTAGGCGCTCCGACCTCTACTCGCCCTCCCCCTGCTGCCCACGACTCGACCTTCATTCTCCTCGTCTGACCCGGTCTCTTGGCCTGGGGGAGAGTGGGTCTCACAAAACGCTGTCTTCTTCACTGAAAATGTTGTACCGTTGATGTTCGTTTCCCTCACGGGTTCAATCTTCATGAACAGGCCAGCGCGTTGAGCACACGTGACGTGRAACGCGGTGTAACAGTTGGCCTTGTGGCACTGAATGCACGCRCCTCGACCCTTCTGCTTGCACAAGCAGCAGGTAAGTTTCCAGCGCGCTGGGGGGATGTTAGCAACCCCTTCCACTGGTTCCAGAAACACCGTGTTGGCAAAACAAACTTCAGGGATCCATATCGCACAGACCACATGTGCCCATCGGGCATCACTTGTTTGTTTGAAAGCACCTCCCCGATTTGGGCATAAAACACAGTCGACGGGTTTTTGAGGGGACTGGAGGCAACAGCGGCACAGCCACTGGCCCTCAGGGACGTAGGGCACCCCGTAACACTCCTGGTGCACAGCCAGGTTGCACGCATCGCAGAACAGGATGACGTTGCTGTTGAGACATTCATCGTCCAGGCACACACAGCAGAAGGCATCGTCGTCGATCGCGCTCTGAGGGGGCGCCCGGCTTCGAGCTTCTCGATACGCCTCCTCCTCCAAACGGTCCACCAGTAGCTCAAAAATGTCCGGTGAAATGACGGAGAAACCTTCTGATGTCCGGCCGGTGTTTATCATTTCCAGCCAGGCCGTGTCTTCTTCGTCCATGTCATATTCTGCCTTTACTTCCTGCTCGCCGGGCGAGCATTCCATGTAACGATAATACGCTGCAGGCAGGGGAGCTGCCCTGCCTGGCGTGAAGGTTTCCAGAACCTGAAACTTAGGTTCTGGAAGGGTCGTGGTGTCGTGAGAGTTTGATATTTCAGGCGTTTGGGGATGGGGATCTGGACAGTGGTTTTTGGAAGTTTTTGGCGACCTGACCGAGGTAAATTTGGAGTCTTTTCTGCGACCTCTGGGTGTGACAGGTTTACTGGTTGGTTGCGTAGTGCTGGAGGGAGACGACGACTGCTCACTGTTCTCTTTGTTGCTGTTACACTCGCTGATATCCTGAGCCATCATCTCGTCGTCTGTGACGACTTCCAGAGGCTCCAGGACGGAAATGCGGTGAAGCCTGCCCTCCAGCTCCACCTCCACCACCTTCTGAGCCTGAGCATAGCTGAGGGTTTCTCTGTTTGGAGACGCTTTGAGGCTGTAAGGGGATGGAGATCGCTGGCGGGCACCCCCACACCGGCCAGCTGTCCCACTGGACTTTTTGACATTGACGCCACCTCCTCCAGCCACCGGGACCTTTCGGCGTGGCTTCCTCATAGGCCACTGGTAACACTTTCACTCCTGTCAGATGATAAATAAACACAAACATACATACATATACATAAATGAATAAAATAAGATAAGTGTTAATATAGGAAAATTCTGAAGTTCTATAACCTTTTTATAAGCTGATAAGTTAAAACTAGAAAAATGTAATTCCTATTATTATCCATTTATTTTATACAGATTTTTTCTTATCTACAGATTTGTGCCTTTCTGCTTTAATAATTTTTTAATAAAAAAACACTCAAATCTTAGGCATGATAGACAGAACCTATTAATATGTCGACTCTTTCAAACTGATGTACAGTGTTGTCAGGATCATCTGAATCACATGTGGTATAAACATAACATTCCTTCACACATGCTTTAACACAAATTTCTTATTTTAAATAGMAAAATACCACTATTGTGACAACTAACTACATGACACAAAAAGTAGGATCTTAAGTCAAAAAACAAGTCACTAAAAAACTTTTGTGATCAATAGATTTATCTTTATTTTATCTACAGTTTGTCGAAACGAGGCGTGCCATAACGCAACAGTTTTAGCCAATCAGCTTTCAGGACGGTTTGACGGATCCATGCGTCAGCCAATCATCTTCAAGAAAATTATAGCCTCAACAGATGAAGTCTTCGCACAGGAGTAAAATGTCAGCCATATTTACAGTTTAAAAACATTATTTACGGCTATTTTTCCACCAACATTTTGACATTTTTTTATTTAGGTAGATTCGGCAAGTTGCTCGGATTGTCAAAAAGAAAGGGTATAAAAATATGACGAACTGCAAGCATAAAGAACCACAGAAGTAAAAATATAAGCTAACTTTCGAAGATCATGATCAGACACAGACACACTGGCTCCTTTTTTTTTTACACTTTAAAGACAAACAAACTACTAAACCCTTGAAAAATAAAACAAAAATGAAAGTGCAAAACCTCTGAAAAAATAAAAAGTATAGACGAAGAGTAAATTTATAATCCTACCTATTATGACAACTGCCTTGACCAGGGTAGCTTCCCAGCCGGCGGTCTGAAGCAGCTTTGGTTCCCCAGCCAGACGCTTCGCTCGCTGCACTTCCGAAGCTAGCAGCTACCCTTAGCCTGCCACAGTTTGCTAACACAGCCGGTGTAATTTGCTGCCTGTATCGGTCCTGTTTCTTCAAAACACGGGGTTCGAAAGGCAGTCACTTATTCCGAAAGGCATATTGAAAACAAGTGCGGTTCGTTAGTACTCACAGCCTGAGAGACACCATATTATCGAGCAATTATTGTGAGAAAAAAACTAGCCTTTTCGGCTAGTTGGCTAGCTGTTTGGGATGCGGGAATTAGCCGAAGTAAAAACAGATGACTTCCGGATGTGACTTTCAAAATAAAATCTATCTATCTATCTATCTATCTATCTATCTATCTATCTATCTATCTATCTATCTATCTATCTATCTATCTATCTATCTATCTATCTATCTGGGNTCTATCTATCTATCTATCTATCTATCTATCTATCTATCTATCTATCTATCTATCTATCTATCTATCTATCTATCTATCTATCTATCTATCTGGGAAAGAAACAAAAATACAAAAACAAAAATGAACAGACTACACAAACGCTAACATCTGTAATCATTACATCTGAGTATCTCATCATTATGTCATTAATCATTATATCTGAATACATTGAAAGTTGTTTAAAAATCTATGAAAAATAAAATTTTGTAGGGTTTTCAAAAATTTTAAGAATTTTTGTTAAGAAGTTATTGTAAGCAGGAAATATAAAAGGGACTATCTGAAAATACCCTCTTGTCTTTTTTTTTTCTTACAGCAGATATCTTAAAGGTCGTTATTGACCTTCCATATTATATAGTAATTTCCTAATGTCTTATCTCTTAATATGCATTTTTAGATTTTATTTGCCTTTGAAGGAATGCAGTTGTGCAGAAAAGATTGTGCAAACCTTTATTTTGAAGGCGCGGTGCCTCACTTCCTCTTACTGTCAGTTTTGCAGTTTACTTGATGACAGCAGATTGGGAAAGTTCAGCCGGCCCAGAACCTACCCTTTTGACGTCATAAGGCCATGATTTTCGCGCTCAAGCTACTTAACGGGAGTCTCATCTCGTTTGTCTAATTTCTACCTCCTGGTTCCCCTGTCCAGATTGTGACCAAGAACTCAATCTTGTAAAATAATGATAATAAATAAAAGCCTTATTATGAGGGTTGTGTCAATGACTTACATTCACTTTTCATTCACTCTCTACCAGATTATGAGCTGTGTAGTCGTCTGAAGGAGGCACCAGAGGGTTACAGATAAAACCAATCCAGTTGTCCTTTTGTCTTAAGTTTAAACTATTTCAAAATTAGATCACTGCATTTTGTGAGGAGGAGAAATTTGTGGCTTTTACGTCATAATCTCCTGAAAATATTGAAACAATTGAATAAATACATTATTTAAAAAAGCTACTAATCGAGAAAGCCTACCTCAAACATATTCAATATTCTGCATTTACACATCGAGACTGAAAATATTTACTGATAAGATATGTCAGAGTGTTGTAAAAAAATRCCATCATCCACAACTTGTCTTATCATTTAATTGGAAACCAGTTTTACATTAAACCTTACGGGAAACCTTGTAGCATTTGGTCACAAATCATTTGCAACACTGATCAAGAATATGTAACAATTTACATTTAAGATTTTTTTTTCACATTACAAAAAAAAGGGGGGGCAGTTTTAAGATAAACCACAATTGTCAGCACTGGTTTAAATTCTAAATACCTGAAGAATAAAAGAAATAGTGTGATGAAGAATTTACAAGGGCACCGTTGGCTGTCTGCTGTGGGAGTTGGGGGATGGGGGGGTCAGGAGGTACATCAAGTTCATCAGATCATGGAGACATGGTCAGAGTGTTTTTTCTCTTGGAGTCCCGCCGTGGGAACGGCACGAAGCTTTTTACCTCTTTGAAACATAACCCTGAGAAGAAAGAAGAGAGACAAATTGTTCTCTGAGAATACACGTTCATAAAGCATTTGATTCTTTAATAAAAAAAAATATGCAGTAAAACAAATAAAAAGATATAACAACATCCTACAATAGAACGTGTGCAAATAGTCAAACATTACATCACATAAATCCTGTAAACTCTGTTTACAACAGACTTAAGTATTAAATCATGAGAGTTTTTTTTCTAGCATCCTTTAATTTAGTTTCCCTCTTACTCTTCCACTCGTCCAGGGACATTGTTGCGTTATCGTGAGAGTCATCATACGGCGTAGGCTCGGGAAAGTCTTCTGGGTCCCGTAAACTGTCGAAGTACGGGTGCTCCAGAGCCATTTCGGCAGTGGGCCTATCATCCCCATCCAGAACCAACATCTTTTCAAGCAGATCGACAGCTGAGAGTGGCACAGAAAATGTAGCCGTTTAAACAAACAATAAAAAAAATAAACTCAATAAAACCTCCAGGGAACTCATAAAGATATTCATACCTGCCATATGGCAGGTTACCATAACCATTGTAATTCAGGTTTTTGCGCACTAAACAGTGTCAGAAAACATCAAAAATCAATACTACATTAAATTAAGGACAACAAACTGCTGACTGGAGTCTGTTCCTCTCACTCAGTGTTTTGGATAGAAAGTTGGAGCAAACAGGAATATTTGAACTCACCCTGTTCACTGGCTTTGGGAAACAACGTAGAGAAGTCTTTTCTTGGATAGCGTGGAAGGTTCTTAATATAACTTTTGGCCTGTTGTTTAAGATAAAAATAAAAATACCAACAAGAAGTAGTTAGTGCTTTTTTTGACATTTGTTTTTTTTTCACAGACATTTTTTAGAGCTAAATCAAGTCAGTTTTGTTTTGTTTTTGAGCACAAAACAGGAAGCAAGTATTTGGACTTTTTTCAGCCCCACTTATATATTTGGCTCAGTTGGCCTGGTTCAGATCTACATGGCATAATAAAGGCATCATCAAGATTTATTATCATTTCCCCCCTCCTAAATAAAACAGTTCTTTATCTTTCCATTTAAACCTAATCAAGTTCCACGAGGGTGTAGCCGTGAGAATATGTCTGAGTTAGGGGTTGCAGTGAACAGATGKGATTTTTTAAACCCTAAACACCCTATGAAGACTATCATAACACAGAATATATGCAGATAAATGAACACAGGAAGTGCTTAATGTCTTATCTGAATACAGACTTTAAAAAATATGCTGTTTACTTTTGAATACCAATAAAACGTTTATCTAATTAGGGAATCAGGGTCACTAATGCTCTTGCTCTGATCCTCAACAAAGACATTTAAAACGAGCATTGATTGTGTAGCAGGTACAACAGAAAGGAAACACATCTAATCATTTAAACAGGTGTAAGATTAAGGCCTACATTGATCTCCAGTAGTTAATAAATAAAAATCTAATGTGTCTCTCTAACAAAACTCTATCTGAAAAAATGAAACTTTGRCTGAAACTGGAAATAAAGTGTGGCAAATTGAGAGTTGTCTGATATGAGACAACTTTCAGGGCAAACCTTGTGAATTCGTGTACCTACCTCTGGACTATCAAGCTTTTGTATAAACTCTGGTCCTGGGACTCCGTTCACTTTCATAATCTGAGTCAGCTGGTCCATGTCTGGTTCAAACAGGTGACAGTAAAGGATTTTCTTTTTTTATAATGTTCACAGATAAACAGTGGAAYATATTGAAGAAATTTATAGTTATTAGAGGTTAGTACTGATGTTAAAAGCACAACAATATATTGTTAGGTTTTCCTTTTTATAATGTTGACAATGTTTAATCTATTATGTTTTGATTGATATAGATTAGTTACATGTCCGAATTATAAACAACACATAATTAAAATGTTATAATAACAGTAGATGAGACTTTTGTATGAATGCCTGTTAAATCTGCCGTAGGTCAGTAGGGGGCGGACGCAGGCATTGAAGAATCATGTATAAATTGAGGTACTTCCTGGTTTTTTAGGCAGTGTGATTTCCTTCTTATCCAATCAATTTAAAATATACATTTTTAAACTGTTTGTTTGACTAATAAGCCAATCACTTGGCAGCAACTCAATGCTTTTAGGCTTGTAGGTGTCGTGAAGACAACTTGTTGAAGTTCAAACTGAGCATCAGAAAGTGGAAGAAAAGGGATTTAAGTGACTTTGAAAGTGGTGCAGTTGGTCTGAGTATTTCAAAAACTGTTGATCTGCTGGGATCTTTACACACAACCATCTCTASGGTTTAAAGAGAATCATCCAAAAAGAGAAAATATCCAGTGAGGGGCATTTGTGTGGACAAAAAAAAACAACTGTTAATGTCAGAGGTCAGATGAGAAAGAGCAGACTGACATGAGATGACAGGAAGACAGCTGTAGCTCAAATAACCACTTGTTCCAACCAAGGTCTGCAGAATTAACTCTGAACACACATGTCCCACCTTGAAGCAGGTGGGCTACAGCAGGTGCCACTCCTGTCAGCTAAAAACAGGAAATTGAGGCTACAATTCACATAAAAATTGGGCAATAAGGGATTAAAAAAATATGGCCTAGTCTGATGGATCTGGATTCACTGGACTCCAAAGGTCTTCACAGCCACCAGATCTCAGTCCAATAGAGCATCTTTGGGATGTGGTGGAACGGGAGATTCGCATCATGGATGTGCAGCCAACAAATCTGTGTCAACTGTGTAATACTAACATGTGATGCTATCATGTAAATATCTCCTTTCCATGACCTGGAAAAAAGAAACAAGTAAAAAAATGGATGGATGGATGGATGGATGAATGGATGGATGGATGGATGGATGGATGGATGGATGGATGGATGGATGAAAAGCCACTTAATAAAACCGTGACAGTTTTATTGCCTAGCAAACACTATAAACTGGTAAAATGTAATAACTTGTTTACATTATTGCAAAAGTGGCATCTGATTTTTCCCCTCAGGAAATACAGTATGTTTATTTTTCGACAYTGCAATTTCCGGTAATTGCCCCAACAGTTTTATTTTGTGCTCATCACATAAAACTGTCACTGTTTAATCAGGAGCTTATCGGTCTCTTTTACTGCCACAACTGTTTGGTAATCTCAGAAAATCATTTGGAAATCATAGCGTCTCTGGAAGCTTTTTATATTTTTTTCCCATTTTATAGATTTAAAAACGGACAAGGAGCTTGAAAGGATACAGTCTTTCCCTTTGAAAAGGGTTTTTCCGTTGATCATTTCAGCCATGATGCAGCCCACAGACCAAATATCCACTAAAAGAAACAGCAGAAAAAAAAACATCAGTGAGAATCACTGCATATCACAGCCGTGTTTTAAGTCAACCGAGAACAGCTCAGATCTTCTTCACAACACAGCTGAATGTGTTGAGCTGGTAAAATCCRGTGAGTAATGTACCCCGAGGAGGGTGTGAGCTTGTTTTCTGTCACATTTCATCCKGCAGAAGCTGTTTGCATACTGAAAAAAATATATAATCTGAAAAATCAAAAATCCTGGATCAATTGATCCAGGATTTGTTACGGATACAGTTTGGGTGCCAAATCGCAGAACTCAGGCGCTACAACACCAGTATATATTAACAGAATAATTCTGATTATTTAAAGAAAATTTGATAAACAATTAAAGGGAGGTCATTATGCCAAATATTTATTTTGAGCTTTATATGTCATTCCCTAATGAAAAACATTAGCAACAAGTGTTGCTTTGACTCATTAATGCATGTTTGAGAAGCATTGTTGTGAAGATGTGCTTGAGTGGGAATGTCAGAAATGGTAGGAGGTTCTTAAAGAGACAGAGGCCAATTTCAAAATGATTAGATAGCCTATGATTTAAAGTCAAATTTATTTCTGTTATATACAGCATTTTTATAACAACTGAAGGTAACATAAGGCGTTTACGCACTGCAGGGCCAGCCCCGGCCCGGCCCGGCCCGACTTCTAACCCGGGTTCGGCGGTTGTGCATGAGCATAGTAGGGC